CGGTCTGCAAATTTCCAGACAAATCGAAGTCTACCAAAAAATCGGCGGAGTGACAATTGCGGTTTTAAGAACTAAACAGAGCACCCTGTGTTAATCACGTTCTAGATATTAAGACAGATACCGGGTTTCCAATAAAAAAAAATCAAGTCAGCTGCATTTGTTATTGCCCAAGATGGTCTCGCATTAATACAAGGTGCATATGCACGTATACACAAATTTACAAACTTTCACATAACGTATAATAGAATAATAGTTAAAGGTTTTGAAAGCATTCCCACCTACCGTTTACTAGTTGGGGGAAAACAAAAAAAAATTGCGACGATACTTTACACTGCTAACGTGTAGGAATGCGAAAGCATTCGTATACGTAACATATTCCCACAAGCTGCGCGTCGCGCTGAGCCTGGCCGGGCGACCTCTGCGGAGGCTGCCCGGGCGGGCTCTGCGGCCGGCCGCTCTGCAAAGCCAACAACACCTAGACAAAAGGCCTCCCCATGGTTTCCTCTTCTTCTATGAAACGTCATCACAATCGGATCACGCTCGGTCGGCTATTGGACCCGAGCCCGACCTTCGACGCGCTGATTGGCCACGAGCCGCAGCCGAACACTGACGCAGCACTCGTGCCCAATCTCTCGCCTCGATCGATCTGACTATGATGACGCGTGTGGAGGCCTTCTGTCTAGGGGGTGTTGGCAGAGCCCGGCCACCCTCTCCCTTTTACCGGCGGCCGGGCCGCTGCGCCACGAAGAGGGCTTCTCTGTGGGGTGGCGTTCCTTGGAACTATGCCGCGCCCCAGCCAATGGGATTTATCCATCAATTCGCTGATACAAACTACAAGCTTCGCTCCATGGGACAGGGGAATTTAGGTGCCGTTAGGGCGCGGCTTCGAAAGCTGAAAACTCCGGTTCGCTCCATGGGACCGCCTAGTTAATGCTTTCACATTAAAAAGAGGCAATGCTCATGTAGAATGTTCAGCGTGCTTTTTAAGAGGCTATACACAAGCGAAATTAATTCGGTAGGGGACAAAACAAAAGCTTGTATTGTTATTCTGCACTTTTTGTTTTACTTAATGTCACTTCGACCGATGGGAAAATGTCTCTCAAGGCACTAAATGAAGTACGAATTAATTAACGACATTTAGGTCATTATAGGCCTTAAAATAATTACGGCGATTTTTCAAAGGAGAGTTCGCGACAGAGTAAGGCAGTATCCCTTGAGATTTCTGACATCGTCTTTGAAGCTCAGGAAGTGGCATCTTTTTCAATTGTAACCATCGCTCATTGCGCCCTCTCTGCACCTAGCACTAAAATGACGGTGGCCACGTGGCAATCGGTAATCGGAGTGATGATAACCTGAGCACAACTTGTTTCTTGATGCACTCCCTTCTATGTCTGGCGGTCCTGGCTTTGTGTCCAAAGGGCGGGTCAAAGGGGCCCACTATCACACCACTATTTAAAACAAAAAAAACTTGTCTTAAGGTCTTAGTAAAATCCAAACAATGGTTTTCAGATGCCAAAGCTCAGTTTGATCACGAAGATGACTAGAACGTTATTTTAAACGCCTTTCATTGCACCTTGATGTTTGGCTTGGTGGTTGGGGACTTTTTAATTTTCATTTTAGCACAATCTTCATTAACAGTGACCTGCCATCTGGCCTCCACGGATGCCGTTCATTAAACTTTATAGACAAGTTCAAGCATGGTGCCCCTACTGGTTCCCTATGCGTGGAACACGTGCAGCTTGCCACTATTGGCAAACTTCCCAAAGCACTAACGTTGCTTTGGGAAGATTGCAATTGCACGGGCGTGTTCGCACGAGCCGAGACATGGCGACAGCCAGTCACCTTGCTTTCAGTCGTCTATACATTGCAGTGTTTTCGAAAATCTCAGTCTACATGGATTAGGTCAAAGCCCAGCACGCGCATGTTCGCCGCTTTGGAAGGCGAGCAAAGTACTCGCCACACGCACGTATACGCTGAAAAAGGCACCAACCAGAACCGCTTTTCTGGAATGGTCTATAGATATTTTGCTAAATTACTTAAGCACCAAGGAGCATATGCATGCTACAAAAGTAGTTACACGTGCTGGCGTCTTGAACAGTAACTTTTAATCCAAAACAAATGGCACGTTTCTTTAGGTAAGACGAGCATGTGGGACACCTGTACCCACATTCCGAGCATTCCCCATGGTGCTTGGGTAATTTTTCGAAAACTGTATTGCGTGACGCTTTGATCTTCCTTTGTCAGCGTAACTGCGAGTTTCTGAGAGAAGCTCGCAGTTCGCTCAAGCCTTGGCTCAAGCCACGGCTTGAGCGTATCGAGTTGCCAAACGGTTTCCTCAAAATCTCAATTGCGTCCGTTTTTTTTTTTTTTTTTTACTTTCTTACAGTTTAGTACGTAAGCCAAGGTCATACTTTATGCAACTAGAGATTATTATCAACTTTAGGCAACACGAACGCCCCTGTTTCCTGGCTGTTAAGGGGTGTCCAAACAGGACACTACAAAACGCACGACTCCGACAAATCGTGAAAATCGAAGCGGACGCTTTTATTTTTACGATTTGTCGGAGTCGTAAAAATTTTTGCAGGAGTCGTGAAAATTTTCACGATCACGACTGCTCTCCTCGCCTCCTCCACTTTTCTCTGACGTCACACGCCACCTGTATCTGGCTCACTTCGCCAACGACCTCGCGTACCGTTGTCGCCTCGGCTCGAAGGCCAAGGGGATCCGGCTTCGGGTGGATTTGGGACATTCCTGCGTCGAAGGGTGCGCTTCGCCCGCCCCGGATCTGCTTTCTTTGTCGAGATTCACTTTCGTCGTGATGGCGTCCGACGCGGTTCCGTATTGTGAGCGGAGGCCTTGAGCGATTGACCGACAGCCAACAGAGCGTGTGAGTGGCTCTCCGGACCCACGTGATAAGCAGAGCAAGGCCGCCGTGGAGGAAGCGAGGGGGAGATTTGACGGAGGGAAGTTTCCCCCCGGGAAGAATTGACGGAGGGAAATTTCCCTCCGACGGCCGGAAGCGGATCGCGGCAGAGCGCGGCACGATTTGCCGGAGTCGTGAGTTTTGTAGTATCCTGTTTGGACAGGCCTTTAGACGTGAGAAAGGCGAGGGCAAGAGTACTCGATTGCCGGCCGCGCGCCTCCCTGCCCGATGGCGGGATGGCGGGAGAAATTGGGGAAACACGGGGGAGAACGATGTTTCCGTTCCGGCAGTGAATGAAACATCACTTCTTTCATTACCTAGAGTGGATCTGGGGGAAAGAGATAGCATTTCGGATTCAGGATGCTATCCGCACTCAGATGGTATCTTTGAGTTAGGTAGTACGAAAACAAAACGTAACACAAGCGTGCAGCGTACTGGCGAAGTTCTAAAGACGCGGAGTGTCTTAGTATGCAAGGCATGAGGTAGTAAATATGTTGACTCAACTGGAATGACTACAAACCCCTGCGACACGGGCTGTCGCGTTCTGTGTTTTCTGTTGACAAATTCAACGGTTCTATAAAAGGCCGAGGTGCCCGCAATCTGACGGAGGCTTATTGCGGAGAAGGCGCCGAGTTACCAAGCCTTCGGTTGCACGTCAAAATATTCCCAAGTGGTCGAAATTAATCCTTAGTTCTCGGCTGGCGCGTGCCAGAGGCTTTTTGTTGGGTTGGCACGTAAAACTTCTAAATTTAACTTTTATTTGACATGAAAAAACAAAACCACTTACCACCAAATGAAGTTTCTAGGATATTAGCAAACAGGAACGCTCTGTAATTTTCCATGCCGTTTTTCACTGATCTACAATGTTAGATTCACGCTAGATATTCTGGTTTACACATTCGAATCCGGTCAGCTGCTCGTGCGAGTGCCGTAGTCTGGCTCTGCCGTAAGTGCGTATTTCTAACGCCCGAATGAGTCAGCATCGCGTCGACATTTTTATTTGATGTGTCGGCTATCCAGAGAAACCTCAAAAAATAATAGAAAAGCCCATACAAATTCCGTTCAAAAAGGCGTCATCTCTAGGAAACTTTGAAAGCTATGCACAATAAGAGACACAAAAGGGTCCCGAAAATATTAAACTCTAAAAATAATAATATTTCCTATTTATAGACACATCATTTTTAGGGTCCGTAAAATGCGGACCCTATACACATTATGTATAGGGTCCGCATTTCTGAAAGCGGAAACGCTATCAGAAAATGACGCTAACGGTAGGGATAGGATCCGAAAGTTCAAGATCGTGACCTCGCCTGGACCTAAAGGTAATACAGAAAAACGAGATTTCTCTAGGAGCCAACGTCTTCCTAGACTTAGTATTCATCAACGTCAAGCCAAGAAACGGCATCGTGAGTGACAGTGGCATTTATCTCGTGAAAAAATGCTTGTCAGCAAAAAGGACGATGCTATTTTCGATCTTGCTGACGAGCCTTTCTTTTCATTGAAACAAATGCTATAGGGAGTATTCACTGGCGGCCATAGCTGTGTGCGCGAACGCTGAGTGCGTGCTGATGGCAAGCTTCCACAGTCCTTTTGCAACGTGCATTCCGTACCATCAACAGTGCCGGTCTTAGCAGCCTATTGATGTAAGCTCGTACTGAGCATGCGCTCCAGACAGCACCCACAAATATGGCGTCCAGTGAATACTCCCTATACTTACGCCCACAATATTGCCGCCGTTTAATGTAAGAGGAAAATCAAGACGACCATCGTCACCTAACACCTCGTGAGCGCTAGCGACCAGTATGAAGGTTGGAAAGCGCCATGCGAAAAACCGACCCAAAATCGAGCTCGTCGCTGTGGCGTCTCTCCGCGTTCTCGTCTACTTCTCTCCCTTACTTTCTACACGCATAAAACGGGAAGAGGTAGGGGCCTGCCAGTTCCGACTATTCCCGAGTTCAGATAAATATAAATGACCGAGCATTGTTTTTTTTTTTTTTAATTTGTACACTTTATTTAGCTTTTGTTTTACTTGTTGTCAAAGCGTTTTTTTTTATTTTTTTGGTCTTCGGTTGCCACGTCATTTAGGCCAAGGGACGCACTTCCCATTGAGGCATATCTGTAGGAAAAGAACACGTTTGAGTGGCATACTTGTGAACGAAAAGCAATGGATGCGTGAAATTCATTATGACCTAGAATGTTTCGTTAAATTTGCCGTCGCGTATAACGCAATATCGCTTATAATTAAACTACCTTAACTTATATCATTCTAAGCGCTGCCCCGGTAGGTGGCAGATAGATGAGAAAGAACGTTTATGACAGCCTCCTTCGAACTCGGCAAACCACATCAGTTCAGGCAGTGTAAGTACATATATGTCAATAAATACCCTCCTTAATTATGATCATAATAAGATTGACATGAAATACCTTATTTTTTTTAAAATAATGTCTGTCATGCGTAAGAAGTGTTGGAAGTTGCGCGTTAAAAGTATAAGGACATTCCTGGTAACGCATTACGTTTTTCAATAACGCACTTGCGTACTTGGTAAATGTTTAATTGAGTAACGGGCAAAGTATTTTTTGTAACAATTTTGCGATATCGTTCATTAAATTATGTTACTCGTTACTCTATTCAAATTTTTCACACTCAGCTTAAAAAAAAAAAAACAAAAAAAAAAACATACATTCGCATTTTGTAACTCGCAACGAAAAAGGCTCTGAAATTTCAATTCTCCATGGAATTATTTAGTAATCCTTCTGAGACAGTAAAATGCTATTCTACAAATTTGACAATAAAAATAATTCTGAAATTTAAAGTAACGAAAAAGTAATGATCCTTAGTTTTTCGAAGTAACGGTAACCGTATCTCGTTACCATTGAAGGATGGCAGCGAATCTCAGTAACGCGTTCATTTCTGACGAAATTACAAGCAGCGCAATTTCGGAACTCTTTTTCGGTAACGTGCAAAACACTGTGAGTAAGCCCGGTTCAAGGCACGATTTTGTCCGACATATTACTGCAAAGAAAGTAAAAACAACTATTGACTTCAGGGTGACGGTTAAGAGGAAGTAGAAAAAGGCGAGACCTCCATTTTCGTTTTTTATTATGTCTGGGTCCACTTGTGCAGGCTCGGTATACTCTAAAACGAAAGACTTCCCGTGTCACAAAAGATAACAGAGGAATTTCATTTTCTCAATTATCTTTTGATCTAGGTAACGTCAGGTCGTTAAACTTCCGCGTTCTATCCCAACCACTAGCGTCACATTCTCACAGAGTTCGAGCTTTCTGCGATACATAGTTTATTTACGCGGGCCCTAAAACACGGTTCTTTTTTCTCGGTAACTCCCCGTACTTCCCTTCACCCTAAGTCCGGACGCAGCCAATGCCACCTAGAAGACAAGGTCTGCTCATGACGTCATCGTCAAGGGATCCCCGACCCGCCCCAAGCGGCAAACACGTGAGGCTCGACGAGAGTCTATGCCACTGATCTCAATGACAATTGTTGGATCGCGAATCCGCGCTCTGCAAGTGCGGCCACCAAACAGCCATCTCGCATGCCGTTTTTTTTCTTTTCGTTTTGCTAGCGTGCGTTGCAGAGGGCGGCGGCAACGTGCTGAAGACACGTTTTCTACTCGTTCGTCGTCGTTCACCGAAGACGTTCTTTAACATCCTGTGTGAGGCGTGATACTTGCCGTTGAGAACACGTGGAAATTTTTACAAAAGCGCAGTTCCGCAGGAAAAAGGCACAACTCGTGGAAACAAGTTTCGCCGGTCTCGCGGCGTGTTCGGAACTTCCTTGGCACCCCGAAGTAACATGCCTCTGTGTTTTCGCACGCTTGGGTGCCGACCATGATGTCACCGACCAAGAATCGACGCCGTGTGGATGTGTTTTGCGAGGGAAATGTGCGTGAAGGCGTATGTAAAGGTACAACTCGTCGCAATCAAGTGTCACCGGACTCGCGGCGTGATCAAAGCTTCTTTGGCACGCCGAGTGGTGCATCTTTGCGCCTTAGCACGCTTGGATACCAATCAAGAATCGACGCGCACCAAAGTTCTGAAGGTGTGTTGCGCTTTAGATCGTATATATATATATATGTACCGTAGTTACTCGCAGAATGAACGCACTTTTTTTCCGAAAAATCGATGCAAAGTTGGGGGGGGGGGGCGTTCATTACGCGAAGTAAAATTTTTGCGTCCGTATTTACTCGCATAATAAACGGTCCTTTTATCCTGAAAAATCGAAGTAACTTCTTATCTCTTTGCGCGCGGCGCCCGATCCCGTAACCAAACTAAGCTGTGCAAAAAAAAAAAAAAAAAACTCCTCTGTTTTTTTTTTCTTAGTTCCCTGTTTTTTTTTGTTTTTGTTTTTTTCTGCAGCCCTTTGCAAGCTGTTTTGTTTGCTTAGGCGTTCCTTAGGTGAGGGCTCTCCGCTTACCTTTCTTATAACCTTGCGCGCGGCACGCGACGCACGACCCCCCGAAACCAAACTGCGCTGTGCAAAAAAAAAAAGAAAAAAAAAAAGCTCCTCTTTTTTTTGTTTTTTTCTCAGTTCCGTGTTTTTTTTTTTTTCTTTTTGCCGCCTTTCGCAAGCTGTTTCGTTTGCTTAGAGGGCTTCTCCCCTCCTCTTTCTTACCTCCTCGCGCGGCGCGCGACCCCCCCCCCCCCCCCCCCCCCCGTAACCAAACTGCGCTGTGCAAAAAAAAAAAAGAACGAAAGCTCTTTGTTTTTGTTTTCTCTTAGTTCCGTGTTTTTTTGTTTTTTTTTGCCACCTGCTTTTCGCAAATTGTTTCGTTCGCTCGGAGCGCTTCTCTTTCTTACTTCCTTGGGCGCAGCGGCGCGCGAACCCGAAGTCCTGACTGCGCCGTGCAAAAAAAAAGCTCCTCTCCATGTTTTTTTTCTTGCTTTCGTTGGATCTCTGCGAATTTTTTTAATGGCTTTTGCAAGGCGTTTTGTTCGCCCACGCTGCCCGTGCATTCGCGACCTCGCTGCACCAGGATAAAAAAAAAGTGCGTTCATTTCGCGCGCGTTGGGGGGGGGGGTCAAAATTTTGACGTCCAAGTTGAGGGTGCGTTTATTACGCGAGTGAAAAAAAAAGTCGAAATTTTGAGAGCCAACTTGGGAGGTGCGTTCATTACGTGAGTGCGTTCATTGTGCGAGTAAATACGGCGGCCACAGAGTTCTGGATCGTCCAGCTGTTCCGGTGAGTTGCTATCCATAAAGGGGTCACGTGCTCTTATGTACTATTAACCATGGCTATGTTCCAAATCTACTCTACTGGATCAAACGGGAGCACGAATAGAGCAACGCTGTGGAGCAAGGAGGGTTTTCGAAGGCAAAAGTTAAAGGCGGCCAGAATGAAAATCTTTGAAGCGCGGACCATATGGTCGTGTGCAATCTGTTGATTAATCACAATTAGGCGAGCCGCGCTCAAACGTCAAGTGGATTGATAATGAGCCAGCACTAATCAGTGATGAGGAGCTGTTGTGCGCAGTATTCTGTAAGTCGTCTAAGGATAAAAAAAACGTACTTTCCTCCCCTCTTCCGTCGCTACTGGACGCTGGATCAAGCTTGTTTCTGGACCGAGAGTGCCGTAAGTAAACAGTCTTCAGAGTAAAGTAAGACACTGATCCAGAGGCACATACGGCTTCACGCACGTTGCACTCGCAAAGCACATTCACACGGCGTCGATTCTTGATGGATATTCAAGCGTGCGAAGGCACAGAGACACAGCACTTCGGCGCGCCAAGGAAGCTTTGAATACGCCGCGATACTGGCGAAACTTGCTTTTGACGAGTTGTGTCCTCTGGCATTTCGCTTTCGTAGAAATGTCCACGTGTTCTCAACGGCAAGTATCGCGCCTCACACAAAATCTTTAAAAACATCTTCGGCGAATGACGACACACGAATAGAAAGTGTGTCTTTAGAACGCTGCCGCCGGCCTTTGCAACTCTAGCAAAAAAAAACAAAAAAAAAAACGGCATGCAAGATGGCCGTCCGGTGGCCGCAATCGCGGTGCAGCAAACAAGCGGGGATGCGCGATCCAGCGATTGTCATAGGGATCAGTGGTCTCTGTTAACCATGGAGGTAGGAAGAAAAGGATGCGACATACCGACTCAAGTTAGCCAAACGAGACAATACAAAGTAAAGCCGGAAGTAGAGGTCACGGTCACGCCCCCAAGCGTGACCAAACAGCCGTTTGTGCTAAATGAGCTGTCCCTTCGGTCCAATAGCGTCTTTTGGTTTTTGGTCATCAGTGGGGGCGTGTCCCTCTAAACCGGAAGTCCACCCGGCTTCACCTCTGGTGGCGTCATGTCGCATCCAGAAGCTTCCTACCTCTATGCTGCTACGCCGCAGACGCTTGCGTCTTGGCTTAACCGTCTGCTAGCATCTCGCTCGGTGTGAGCAGAGAGTATAATGTACGCTAGACGTTCAACTGGCGCTAGTGTGCGGTTCCAAATTGAAGCAGAGAGCAATCAGTCAGAAACTTACTTCCGGTAATGCAATTTCTATGAAAAAAATGAGAACAGTTTCTGCGTGCGCTTAATTATATAAGAGCAGAACAAATATCACGAATAATCCGTAAGTGGGTGATTTCAGATAAGATCGACCAAAGGATGGCTAGTCGACATTTTCAAATCAACTGATGTTTTTATATGTTATTGTCTAGTGTCTGGTATGAACGAATCCAAACTTAGTTTTGACTAGAAAAAATACTTGGGGACAGGAAAAATCGTAAGGCATGAGGTGGTGGACAGTTGCATTAACGCGCACTGATGGAGGGGGCCCGTTTGAGAGTGAATAACTAAAGCGATAACATTAGGAGAACTCTAATACGTTTTAGGCGCAAACTATGTGTATAGCTTGCTTGTAATGTAAGGTAATCATATTTATTTAAAATTTATTTATTTTTCTAAAAATTGACAAACATGCCTGCTCAAACGACAAATGGCAAACTTTGGAGGTCTGTATCTCATGAAATAATTTAATCATTATGATATAATTTGCAGATATTATTCTACTAATATATAGCTAATATTTAAAAAATAACTAAGGTATCTGTGTGATACAATAGTTAGGATATATTTAGTCAAACATGGAAAAAAAATCAAACAAAGAAAA